TCAGCAGCCAAAAAGAAAAAAAAAAAAAAAAAATTCCAAACCCACAGAAAAGTTGAAAAACATGTACAATGACAATCAAAAGAATCCATAAAAATAAACTGGACTTCATCAAAATTAAAAACTTCTGCTCTTTAAATGACACTGCTAAGAAAAAGACAAGCCACAAAGAACTCACACAACTGAATAATAAGACAACAGATTCCCTAATAAAAATGGGCAAAAGACTCGAACAGACATATTTCCAAAGAAGATATACAAATGGCAAGTGAGCATGTGAAAAGATGCTGAACATCATAAGTCATTAGGGAAATGCAAATTAAAACACATAATGAGACACCATAATGCCCTGAAATGGCTATAATCAGAAAAACTAACACCACCAAGCCTTGTTAAAAATGTGAAGAACAGGAGCACCTGGGTGGCTCAGTGGTTAAGTGGTCTGTCTTCGGCTCAGGTCATGATCCCAGGGTCCTAGGATCGAGCCCCGCATCAGGCTCCCTGCTCCGCAGGAAGCCTGCTTCCCTCTCCCACTCTCCCTGCTTGTGTTCCCTCTTTCACTGTCTCTCGCTCTCTGTCAAATAAATAAAATCTTAAAAAAAAAAAAAATGTGAAGAACAGAAACTCTCATGTTGCTGATGGAAGTGGAAAATGGTACCACCACTTTGGAAAAGTTTGGCAGTCTCTTATAGAAGAGTTAAGCATCCCACTCCTCGATATTTACCTAGGAAAAGTGAAAATGTGTGTTCACACAAAAATCCATATGCAAATATTTATAGTGGCTTTATTCATAATTGCCTAAAGCTGTAAACAACCAGAAGTCCTTCAGCTGATAAATAGATAAGCACTGTGGTACATCCATACAATAGGATACTACATAGCAATAAAATGGTACAAACTACTGATGCATGGGAAAACATGGATGGATCTCAAACATACTGTGCTAGACATCATGGGCTCCATTGTGTTTCCCCATCAAAAAATATTAAGTCCTAACCCCTAACCACCTCAAATCGTGAACTTATTTGGAAACAGGGTCATTACAGATATAATTAGTTAAGATACTAGAGTAGAGTGAGCCCTTGCTCCAACTGACTGGTGTCCTTATGAGACACACAGGGAGAACCCATGCAATGACAGAAGCAATACACAGGGAGAATACCATGGGATGACAGAGGGAGAGAGTGGAGTCATGCAGCTGCAAGATATGCAATGCCAAGGATTGCTGGTGATGCCTGAAACTAAGAGAAAGAGATGCACAGATTTTTCCCCAAAGCTATTCAGAGAGCATGGCCTTTCTGACACCTTGATTTTGGACTTCTGGAATCCAGACTGTGAGATAATGAATATCTATTGTCTTAAGCCACCTACTTTGTGGTACTTTGTTACAGCAAAGCCAGGAAAGTTAAAATAGACTCAAGGGCATTTATATGACATTCCAGAAAAGTCAAAACTACAAGGATGGAGAATGGATCAGTGGTGCCCAGGGTTGGGGCTAGGATGAGGGATGACTATAAATAGGTAAGGGAGAATTTTGAGGGTGATATAAATATTCTAGATCTTCATTGTGATGGTAGTTACATGATTGCATGTGTTTGTCAAAATTCATAATACTTTATAGTATATGAATTTTAAAATTGAAGTTTAGTCTATGTAAATCATACCTCAATAAAGCTGATCCCCCTAAATTCATAAACTATAAATAAACAACAACAAAAAACCATTATACAGTGGCCATCTGTATACCTTCTACCCAGATTCAGTGGTTGTTAATATTTGACCACATTTGCTTTATCTATATATGTATGTATTTTATTTTTGCTGAATCATTTAAAAATAAATTGCAGACATCATGACACTTCATCCCTAAAAATTTTATCATACATCTTTTAAGAATAAGGACATTTTTCTATGTAAGATATATAAGAAAAGTAACAATAATTCCAAAATATCATCTAATATAGTCAATATTCCAACTTCGCCAATTGTACTCAAAATGTCTTTTGTATTGCCTTTTTCTGACCAAGATCCAATCAAGGATCATATAATACATTTGGATGTTATGTCTCCTCAATCTCTTACTCTTAATTAAGATAATCTTCCCATCTTTTTCTTTTGATGACTTTTTGTCTAGGTCAATAGTCTTACAGAATATTCTACAATTTCTGGATTTGTCTGATTGCTTCCTCATAGTGTTACCAAATTTTCTTCTCTTTATTTCCTATAAACTAGAAGTTAGGGCTGGAGGCTTGATTAGATTCAGGTTAAACACTTTTGGCAAAAACAGTTTACAGGTGATCTATTTTTCCATCTGGTTGGCCTCTCTGTAGACCTATCTTCCTGCCTTTCTTTCTCATACCATAGGACTTGTGTACCTATGCAACAAAATCTTGTGGAGGGACTAGTACCAACTAGATATTGAGGCCACAAACACCAGTAAGACAGTTCCTGCCCTGAAGGAGATTAATGAAGGAAATAGCACCTTTTCTCATCAATTTATTTACTCTCATCAAATATATTTACTAACTGCTAAAGGAGCCAGGTACCATGCTAGGTGGTGGGGATACAACAGTAAGCAAAAACAAATATGGTCCCTGCCTCCAAGGAATTTATAGTCTAGTAAGTGAGACAGATATTAATTAAAAAAAATCCAGAAATAACTTGTGATAAATGCTATGAAAGAAAAGCATAGAATATGACTGTATAATGGGAAGAGCTGAGTGTATCATTTGAACTAATCAAGATACTAGGCCTAACTTCTGGTTATAGGAAATACTGGGGATAGGAATTTTAAATCACATGGCCTTGAATTAAAAAACCCTAACCAGAGAAGTTCAGAATTGTAGCCAGACCAAACCAGTGGTCTGTGCTGTCATCCAAAAGAACAGTGGATCCTGCGAGAAAAGATGGTTTGTTAAAGCCTTTGACTTTATTCTACTTTCCTGAATATTCAGGTTAGACCAAAGGGCTCAAATTTGTGTTGCTTCTAACAGTAATTTTGATAGTTTTTTAAAAATAACTTTTTCCTTAATCCACACAACTAACAAGTAGCAGAGTCAGAATTCAATCCAAAATTGCTGGCTCCCTCCAAAGCACCTGTATTTGACTATGACATAACAATGTCCCCAGAAATAATGATAATGATGCCTACCAAGGTGAAGCTAAGGGAAAAGGGTTTTTTGTAATGTAAGTCAAAAAGGGACAGATAGATATTCTTTTAGCACGACAAAGACACAGGAGTGATGCCAGCAGGAGGTTAATTGGCTCAGTATGAATGATCTGGTTATTTTTAGATGCTTGAATAGGAGGCCAGACCAAAGTGGCCAGAAATTTCCACCCCCCACTCTCCTTACCCTCCATCAGGAATAAAAAATGACCGCTTTTAAGAAATAAAAAGCAGCTGGGATCTGAGGGGGAAGGAATAGAGAAAAGGACTATGGGGAAGGGGAATATGAAAGAGGAGGCAAGGAGAGGTTGAGAGGAAGTCTGCTGACCAGAGTTTGGCTCTATAAGTGCCATGGCCAGTAAACCCCCTTACTCATGGTTGTACAGCTTATGGAAGTTACTCAAATCTGTCATGGCATGCACTCTAGTTTGCTTAGAATATGATACATGAGCCTGAAAAAAAAGATTCACTCACCATGCTCCATGATTCTGTGTATTCTTCAACAGCCAACTGGAAGATAGTTTTGTTAGGAACTGTTCCATGATGGACTTCTAGTAACTTCCACTAATGTCAGGCACTGTGCTAGGTGCTTTAGATACACTCATCTCTAATCCTCTGAACAGCCCACCAGAAGAGGTCCCCGAGACTTAGCTACTCACCTAAGGTCACAAATTTTCTACCAAGCCAGAAAATTTTTAGTTGTGCCTGTCTGACTTGGACACAGCTAAACTAGCCCAGAACAGTGCTTCTCAAACTATCTGTGAAGGACCAATTTTTATTTCAATCTATCACAGCTTGACAGTTTTGGAAGATACATAATTTTATAAAATATAAAATGAGAAAAGATATGCACAATACAAGCCCAAACTTACAATCAACAGATGTACTCTGTGAAATTGCTGTAAATGTTTCTAAACACTTACTCTGAACGTCTGTCTTCCGAGTGAATCTTGTCACGGAATGACACAAGTAGAGAGTAGTAGTTCTGGTCATGAGGGCACATCAGTATCATTCCTGAACTTTTGCCAAATACACGTGCCTGCACTCCACCCAGACTCTGATTCAGCAGGTTTGACATGTTTAATAGACACTTCCCAGGGGATTCTGATGTCCATCCCTGGTTAAGAACCACTGCTATCCTGACATGTTGCCAAAGCTACTGTTTGCAGCTTGGTACAAATTCAAAGAACCAAAATCCTCTTTCAGAATTCACTGAAACCAGTACTGGGCATTGTGGTGGGGAAAGGGAGGAAGGGCAAGAATGCCAGGGAATTGAGAAATTCAGGAGTTGCCCTCCCTAACATCTGCATCATCACCTGGTACTATTTCAATATCCTTTCAACTTAAAACTTTTGATGTCTGGTTCAAGTATGAAAACACCCTGAGCAGCAAATTAGAGGCAGTCAAAATTGCATTTTGCAGATAGCCATTCCCATCTAAGGTGACACCTCTATTTTGTTTCCTCCTACTTACACAGCCTTGCCTTTATAAGAACCGGCTATCTCCTGTATCCTACATTTGAGGGATTCTGGGAACTGTCAACCCCAGAGAAAAATTGTGAGTTCTTAGTTTATCCTAGAGGACAGCAAGCTGATGGCACAGCCACTAGGGAGAAACAGCCTGGGAGAAAAGCACTCCACCTTTTCAGTTCAGGGCCAACAGTGAAAGGTAGATGCAGGATGAGGCCTCACAGGAAGGCTCAGAAGAGACTTCAGTGAGAATAGGAAGTGCTAGTGTGTGTATTCCCTCAAGAAAAAAGTCCAGTGACCTACATGACCCCAAGAGAAGTGAGAATTGATAAGATGCTTGTGGAAAAAAAAATGACAAGTAGGCTGACTGAACCAAAATACAATTTATTTTTTTCATAGTAATTACTTTTTATTAGTATTGCTGGTATGCACGTGTGTGTTCAATTGACCTTACCACAATGTTAAACAAGTACATACAGAGTTTGATGTACACAATGTGTACTGTTCTCTCTCAGTTCCAGTCCTTGATGGGTATATTCATATAGCAGGTGCTCAATAAAATTTGGAAATATTCTTCCAATTTCATTGTCTAGAATAGACTGAAAACTCCTTTGATGGATGTTTCCAGACTATGTCAAGGGTTGCTACAAATCAATAAGAAAAAGGCAAACAACTCAAAAGAAAAACAGGCAAAAGATATGGACCATTTCACAGAAGAAGAAATAAAAATAGCAAAGAAAAGATGCTCAACCTCACTGATGACTGAGAAAATGCAAGGCAAAATGAAACATTATTTTTGACTAATTATACTGGCAAAAAGTGTGTTTATATTGAGATACTTTCATACACTGCTTGTGAAAGTATAAGTTGGTTGGGCTACTTTAGAGGGCTATTTGCCAATATCTCTTTGCATCCTGAGTTTGAGGGATTCTGGGAACTGTGCTAGACTCACACCAGCTTGCAAGAACTGATTGTACATATCTCTTCCCAATTCCAAGTTTACTAATGTCACATTAGTAGTTTGAAATCAGCCATGGCGGGAAAACTTACACAATGGAAATGAGCAAATGCTACAATTCAGTCCTTATCCCCCTTTTTAGAAGACTAGTTGCTAAACATTTATCACATTCTACACTCTGTTTACTAGTGTCTAGAGTCTAAAAGGCACGTAACCCATGATATAGCAATTCCTGGTGGGTTTGTTTTAAGTAGGCTCCACTCCCAGTGTGAAGCCCAACACAGGATTTGAACTCATGACCCTGAGATCAAGACCTGAGCGGGCGCCTGGGTGGCTCAGTTGGTTAAGCGACTGCCTTCGGCTCAGGTCATGATCCTGGAGTCCCGGGATGGAGTCCCGCATCGGGCTCCCTGCTCAGCAGGGAGTCTGCTGCTCCCTCTGACCCTCCTCCCTCTCATGCTCCCCATCTCTCATTCTCTCTCTCTCAAATAAATAAATAAAATCTTTAAAAAAAAAAAAAAAAAAGACCTGAGCTGAAATCAAGAGCTGGTCACTTAACTAACTGAGCCACCCAGGTGCCCCAGCAATTCCTGTTTTGTAAGATATCTTTATACATATATACAGAGGGGCACGTGCAAAGCTTTTCACTGCAGCATTTGGGCTTCAAAGGATGGAAGGTTCTGGTGAGACCTGTTTACATTTTTTTTGGAATGTCCCAGCACCCAAGGTCAATGCCTCCTTGACTCAAGAATCAATGGGTTGGTAGGGGAGAATGCTGGTTGCTGACTCTAGTAAAACTCTATCCTGATCAGATAAGGGAAATTCAGATGACATTTCTTTCAGCATATTCTGTAGCTAAGATGTTTCCACTTTGAAATATTCTCTAGACCCGTTTCGTAGGTTGGTGGTCTCTGCAGTACTAATTTGTAAGTCTCAAGACATGTTGAGGATAAAAGCAACTTGCAGGACATGAAAACATACAGTATGATTGTACTTATGTCACAGAAATATATAAAACAATACCATAAATATGGGCATATATTTTAAGTAGGTAAAAATGATTAAAAAACTGGAAGGATTTACACTTAAAGTGGCCATAGAGGTTACTGCTTGGGAAGAGGAGGAAACCAGGATAGATGGTATTGGTCATAGGGGACTTTAGTCTTAATTTGTAAGCATTAAATGCTTTTCAAGGGCAATGTATCTATGTGTTATTTGCATAAAGTTAAAACTAAAACAAAACAACTCCTTGTAGATAGATATGTCCATAAGCTGCCAACCAAATCCAAGATCAGGGTTCTGAGCTCCTGGAATGGGAGGCACCCTCCTACTCCTGGCATTCAATCCCCCCTTTAGTGGTCCAGGCCTCTTGGGCAGCCCTACACTTGTCCCCCTACCCAGGGCATTCTGGTAACTTTGTGGCATATCTAGTCTGATTAAGACCCCTAATGGCCTCTGAAAAGCACTGAGAAGATTAGGATTCTCATCCCTTCTCTGCATTTATAATTTAAAATACTATGAAACGGGACGCCTGGGTGGCTCAGTTGTTAAGCGTCTGCCTTCGGCTCAGGTCATGATCCCAGGGTCCTGGGATTGAGCCCCACATCGGGCTCCCTGCTCAGCGGGAAGCCTGCTTCTCCCTCTCCCTCACTTGTGTTCCCTCTCTTGCTGTGTCTCTCTCTGTCAAATGAAGTCTTTAAAAAAAAAAAAAATACTATGAAAGTAAAGAAATACCATAGAGTACTGATTTTTCCTATAACTATGGTGATGCTTTTGATAGTCAAAAAATTTTAAATCTCTCAAGAAGCTTTGAAGTTTAGCTGGGAGCATGTGTTTAATTCTGAACAGCTAAGTGATTTCGCACCTGGCAATGTTAAGAGTGAGAAATGGAACAAATCACCAGCAATCTTCAGTCCTTCTCCAATATAAGATTTAAAAAATGGAAGGGAAGGACAAACGTTTAATCACTGTGTGTCTCCTGAAACTAGCTCAACAAACCATGCACACAGTTAATTGGTCAAATTTCCGGGTGCAAAACTAGGTGTAGTATTTGATCGATAAGGAATGGGCCTGGTGTGATGCACTGCAACCACTTCTGTCCTGGGACTCCCATAAGGCAACAGGGACTTGCTGGGTCTTGCCCCTCCAGCATTGGTTCCCCAGCTGCTTGCCCACAGGAGCTGCAAGTTGATTCTTCCGGGATCGGATCCCCAGGGAAGAGATTTCTCCAGCTCTTCAGGGACCTTCAGAATCAAATTCCCTTAGCTTTTATTCAACTGTTCCCTATGTGTACAGGGAGAGGGAAGGAGGCTATTTGTTAAACTTTCACATTATCCTTCTCTATTTACTAAAATTACATGCATAAGCATCAATGAAGAGAAGGATCAGCTTTTCCCACCTGTCTTGGCAATTGGGTGGAATTGGGTGCATCTGATAGCTTTCTCACGTAGATGCTCCTGGATCCAGATTATCTAGTTGGTTATTATTATTTACTTACTTATTGTTTACTATTTATTTATTTATTTACTTCCTGATACTGGGGGAAAAGATTTTTCCCTAAATTCTCTATAGGACATATTTGAAGTGGTGGTACACTAACTGGCAAATGGCTATTTCTATAGTTTAATGGACCATATAGTAACCTATGAAGTTATTTGCCTTCTTTCAGCTCAGAGGGGATCTGAAGACAGGCACCTTCTCGGTGTATGAGGTCCAAAGTCAGTGGTCCTTCTGTGCCCAGAGGATTTAGCACCTCACCTCTATCCTCTGACCTGGCCAGCCAATCCAAGTCAGATTGGGGCTCCAGGGAAGAAAAAAATGTTACATGGCCCTTCTGCCTTCTTGTGCCATTCTTTGGCTGATATTGGTTAACAGCAAATACAAACCCTTTTGGCAAAGTTCAGTTTTGTATTGATTACCTTCACCCCCTTTAAGTCTTCCACAACTGAACTCTATTTTGAGGGACAGGGCAGATGGGGATTTTTTTAAAGAACCCTCATTCCTTCCTACAAACTGACTGGGGGACATGAACATGAATCTTGTAAAGTTCTTTTTTTATGTTGTAGGGGAGAAAATTTGCCACCCCCAAAATTTGTCTCTTTGGCATATGGATTATTTTAGGCTGATTATTTTTAAGAAACAGAAGGCTCAGGAAGAACCTTTGTCCTTCCCCCTAACTGCCTAAAACGATTTAGATAGAGGATCTCCTCTAGGAAGAGAGTTACCACCCTAGATAACCACAGCATAAAATGAACCTGGGTGGTGGTCAGGGAGGAACTTGGCAAAGTCTATTTGTTAAAATTCCTGTGTCCTGTTTCTTTATGGTGCAGTGAACATTTGTTTACCAAACATACTTACTCTTTTTCATCTTCCTGTGAATTGTCTTCCTTCCCTTTGAAGTACCAGACCCCTACCTCTTTCTCCTTAGCTCTGGGTGCCATAAAAGCCTCAATTGCCTGACTGCCTGTGAACATCATATTCCTTTGGAGCCCCTATAGGTAAGGAATTAAATTTGATTTTCTCTTGTTAATGTGTCTCAAGTCAATTTAATTCTTAGACCAGGCAAAAGAATCTTGAAGGGTAAAGTAAAAATTTTCCTTTCCAGCATTTGGAATAGTTCACAGGATAAACTTTAACTGACTGGACGTTACTCACCCTGGGACTGCTATAGCTGAAAGATCCTGGGATTTCTGACAAAAAGTTGGTAGAATATAAGAATTCTTACTACCTCGGTTTCCTGGATCTCTGCCTGCAGGGTCTAATGAAAGTGAGAGTGGTGAGAGGCTTTTTCTTTATCTAAATTTAAATTAGCAGGAAAAAATATGTGTGAAACTAGGTCATTGGGTATAGCAATTTTGGTAAAAATATGTTACGAGTACTCTTTTTCAATCGATCCTTTTCCTCTCGGAGATGGTCACTGTTTTCTTTCGCCTCTTTTTTTTTTTTAAGATTTTATTTATTTATTTGAAAGAGAGCACAAGCCAGGGGAGGGGCAAAGGGAGAAGGAGAAGCAGACTCCCCACTGAGAAGGGAGCCCGACATGGGTCTCAATCCCAGGACTCTGAGATCATGACCTAAGCCAAAGTCAGACGCTTAACCGACTGAGCCACCCAGGCACCCCTGTCTTTTTTTTTTTTAAGAATTTTATATTTTTTATATTATTATTTGAGAGAGGTGAGAGAGGGGAGGGTCAGAGGGAGAAGCACACTCCCCACTGAGCAGGGAGCCCAATGTGGGACTCGATCCTGGGACTCCAGGATCATGACCTGAACCAAAGGCAGTCACTTAACCAACTGAGCCACCCAAGTGCCCTGCCTCTGTCTTTTGGGTCATTTGTCATAGGTATGGAAAACCATAGGTCTGACTAGGCTTTCCTCTCATCTTCTGTCTTGAAAGCTTAGCTTTATAACCAATGAGAATATTCTCTCTGGTCTCTGCCAACTGGAGGATGCACATACCAGCATGCATCTGGTAAGCAGCCCAATAGGCTGTGGCTCTAATAGTCAGCATTGTCTGTCCAACTGTGCCAGCTCTCAGAGGAATTTGTCATAAGGGGTTCTGGTCCCTAAGGGGCTTTTGTCACCTCAACCTTCCTTGTCACTAATTTGGCCAGAAAGAAACGTGGGTTGCATTCCATTTGTGGCTAGATCTTTCTTAGGCTAATTTTGGGAGTAAACTTTCTGGATCTTGTGAGGGCTCCATTTTTGCACTCTCCTTTGGGAATGCCTCTTTGATCCATGGTTAAGCCATAAAAAGGCTTATTGGTTTAAGTCACTATTGAGACTAATATAAGATCCTACTTGTCAATGGCCAGATGATGGATCCTCTAAATTGGCTATATTTGAAAGAAAAAAATTCTTTTTAGAGATCTCTCACTGTCTTATTGGTATCACAGCTAGCCTTAGGGACTCCCTTAACAAGATCAAAGAACAGAACTTAGAACAAAAATCAAAGTCCACTCAGACCCCTTCCTATTTGCCTTCAGACATTTGCAGATACTGTAAAAAAAAAATCAGGACACTGGAAATACAACTGTCCTGCATGTAAGAAGAAAAGAAAAAAAATGAGAGCAACTGTCCTTAACTTCTTTTTTTTGCAACTGTCCTTATCTTACAAATCTTTGCAAAACTAAAAAAATGCAACTCTAGAGGCAATCAAACATCCATCTACTCCTTTTTTTTTTTTTTTTACCAATCCTAAAACCTCCCCTATTTATCTCAAATAACTCGCAAATTATTGGCCTTAGAAAACCGAGTCTCTCTTGGAGAAACTTGCATTCTTTCTCTGTCCCTTAAAGATACAAATCTTACCATGTCTTTGAAATATAAACACCTCAGGAGGTATCTAAAACAACACCCACACTTGCCTAAGACTAAAGAAAAAAAAAGAAAGAAAGAAAGAAAAGAAAATGAAGCCTTTTAAAAACACAAACTGCAAAAAAGGGCTAAGACTCTAGACCACAGCCTCTTCAAAATTACTTTCAGGAACAAATACAAATCTTAAAAGTCTTCTCCAGAAATAGTAAGAAACCTTAGGGCATCTGAGCAAGTAAACTTAAATTATTCCAACTGTTACTTATAACGTAGTGAGTTTTATATTGTTTTAAAAGAGAAGCTATAAGATCTCTGTATTTGTCGATATGTATGTCTATTTCTGTATGCTCTAGATATGGTGTTTTTCTACCTCCAATGGTATTGCCAAAATTAATCTGAAAAAAGAATTCATTTGATTAGCTTAAAGAAAAGGGCTTATATAACTTTAGTATTCATAAAAATTCTCAAAAATAAGATAGAAACTTAATCCAAATGAATTTCAGGTTCACATGATATAGGAAAATATTCAGTATTAAAGCTAATTTAAAATGCAATATATGTTAAGAAAAAAAAAAAAGAAGAAGAAGAAGAAGGTAGCGGGAGGGGAAGAATGAAGTGGGGGAAATCGGAGGGGTAGACGAACCATGAGAGATGATGGACTCTGAAAAACAAACAGGGTTCTAGAGGGGAGGGGGGTGGGAGGATGGGTTAGCCTGGTGGTGGGTATTTAGGAGGGCACATTCTGCATGGAGCACTGGGTGTTGTGCACAAACAATGAATCATGGAACACTTCATCTAAAACTAATGTTGTAATGTAAGGGGATTAACATAAGAATAAAAAAAAATTAAAAAAAAAAAAAAAAAGCTAATTTAAGGTGGCTGGTTTGATTAAAATAGACATGTCTTAGACTTACCAAGATTGAATATAATACAGACACACAACTTTTTATTCTATCTGGGTTTCTGAATCAAATAAGTTCATGTTATCTCTAACTTTGAATGGTGGCTGATTTTGTCTAATGTCTCATGAAATTTTCATAGGTAATCTAAACATAATTGTTGAGAGCAAATGATTCAAATAGGTGTAAATGAGTTAAGAGTTTTTCAGTGAACTTTTTAGCAAAAATTATGTTTTACGGGGGGTGTCTGGCTGGCTCAGTCAATACAGCATGCAACTCTTGATCTCAGGGTCATGAGTTCAAGCCTCACAGGGGTTAGAGATTAGCTAAAAAAATGTTTGTTTTGGGTGCCTGGGTGGCTCCGTTACACGTCTGCCTGTGGCTTAGGTTATGATCCCAGGGTCCTGGGATTGAGCCCCGTGCACTGGGCTCTCTGCTCAGTGGGGAGCCTGCTTCTCCCTCTCCTCCCCACTTGTGCTCTCTCTCATTATCTCTGTCACTCTCTGTCTTCAGTAAATAAGTAAAATCTTAAAAAAATTTTTTTTGTTTTATGGTATGTGTAGCTAAAAAGTTTCCAAAATCTTTTTGGGAACCTGAAACTTTAAAATTTTGCTTAGTTAAATTAAACAGTAAGTGAAACTCATTAAGTATCCAAATCATTTCCAAATAAGATAAAATACTGAACATTAATTACTGCCCTTTCTGCCTGTGAAAGCCTTCCATTTTACAGATACTTGGAGCTCCTTTCTAGTTGGTAAAAAGAATGCTACTCAATTCATGAATCTTGCCAATTGGATCTTCAAATTTACTTAGTTGAATTTTTTTTTTAAAGATTTATTTATTTATTTGAGAGAGCGAGAATGAGAGAGAGAGAGTACATGAGAGGGGGGAGGGTTAGAGGGAGAAGCAGGCTCCTTGCTGAGCAGGGAGCCCGATGCGGGACTCGATCCAGGGACTCCAGGATCATGACCTGAGCCGAAGGCAGTCGCTTAACCAACTGAGCCACCCATGCACCCCTAGTTGAATATTTTTTAACACTAATACAGAGCAACAAAAAATATTGTGTTTGTTGGTAAACATGTCTTGTGTTAAGATGAAAGACTGTATTATGAAGCAAGTTTCTAGAAATTATAAAATATATTAGAAAAAAATATGCCAATCTAAAGAGTGCTGGTGTAATAGACAATTCACAATTGCTTACTACTTCATTTTCACTAGAAACTAAAGTTTCTATGAGTTAAGAATTCTAATATATGTGATTGACACTACTAGAAATAATAAGGGAAACTCTGTATACAAGGAAATTTGCATATGTTTTGGGTAAGATAAGTTATGAGGTATTGAGATGTTTTTGTTAAGGGAAAGTAAATTTGTCCTAAAGCAAATCTGGTTATAAGAAAGAAAAAGGGACAAAATCTGAATGTAGAAAAGAAAGTTATAGGCTTATGGAAAATGAATCTTCAGAGACAAATTTTACCTATGGTGGAGACTGCCTAACATTGGAATGAATTTAAGTAAATGAGTTTTAACATCAAAAGTAAGCTGGTGCAAAATTAAAATTTGGTTTTTCTCTCTGTTCAAAGGATGGTCTTCTTAAACTATTGGTCTGCTCTTGATATTAAGAGATTATAAAGGGTTTTTCTTTGCTCTTAGTGTAATCTGTCTAGAAAACAAATATTCTGTATTTTATCAAAATAAGGTCCTGTGCTTCATGTTGTCTTTATCAGGCCTTGGATTACTTAAGAAAATAGAATCTTCTCAATATGGAAAGAGCTAAGTTTTTCCTTTTTATGATCATTTAATTTTCTGTGTTTGTCTGCAAAGTCTTTGTCACCATGGTTAAGCGGATAACTAGGTAATGTTTCACAGTGATCTCTGATCCTATATGGCGAAGTGTTTTAAAACCTTTTTGACATTGCAGCAAAGGCAGTCCTAAGAGGAAAGTATATACCAATACAAGCCTTTCTCAAGAAACAAGAAAGGTCTCAAATATACAACCTAACCTTACACCTAAAGGAGCTGGAGAAAGAACAGCAAATAAAGCCTAAATGCAGAAGGAGAAGAGAAATAATAAAGATCAGAACAGAAATCAATGAAATAGAAACCAAAAGAACAGTAGAACAGATCAATGACACTAGCAGCTGGTTCTCTGAAAGAATTAACAAGACTGATAAACCCTTGGACAGACTTATCAGAAAGAGAAGAGAAATGACCCAAATAAATAAAATCATGAATGAAAGAGGAGAGATTACAACCAACACTAAAGAAATACAAACAATTATAAGAACATATTATGAGCAACTATATGCCAGCAAATTAGATAATTTGGAAGAAATGGATGCATTCCTAGAGATGTATAAACACCAAAACTGAACCAGGAAGAAATAGAAAACCTGAACAGACCCATAACCACTAAGGAAATTGAAGCAGTCATCAAAAATCTCCCAACAAACAAAAGCCCAGGACCAGATGGCTTCCCAGGGGAATGCTACCAAACACTTAAAGAAGAATTAATACCTAATCTTCTGAAACTGTTCCAAAAAATAGAAATGGAAGGAAAACTTCCAAACTTGTTCTATGAGGCCAGCATTACCTTGATCCCCAAACCAGACAAAGACCCCATCAAAAAGGGGAATTACAGACCAATATCCTTGATGAACACCAAAATACTAGCCAATAGGATCCAACAGTCCATTAAAAGGATTATTCACCACAACCAAGTGGGATTTATCCCTGAGCTGCAAGGTTGGTTCAACATCCGCAAATCAATCAATGTGATACAATACATTAATAAAAGAAAGAACAAGAACCATATGATCCTCTCAATAGATGCAGAAAAAGCATTTGACAAAGTACAGCATCCTTTCTTGATCAAAACCCTTCAGAGTGTAGGGACAGAGGGTGCATACCTCAGTATCATAAAAGCCATCTATGAAAAACCCACAGCAAATATCATTCTCAATGGGGAAAAACAGAGCTCTCCCCCTAAGGTCAGGAACATGGCAGGGATGTCCACTATCACCACTGCTATTCAACATAGTATTAGAAGTCCTAGCCACAGCATTCAGACAACAAAAAGAAATAAAAGGCATCCGAATCAGCAAGGAAGAAGTCAAACTCTCACTCTTTGCAGATGATATGATACTTCATGTGGAAAACCCAAAAGCCTCCACCCCAAAACTGCTAGAACTCATACAGGAATTCAGTAAAGTGGCAGGATATAAAATCAATGCACAGAAATCAGTGGCATTCCTATACACCAACAACAAGACAGAAGAAAGAGAAATTAAGGAGTCGATCCCATTTACAATCGCACCCAAAACCATAAGATACCTAGGAATAAATCTAACCAAAGAGGCAAAGGATCTGTATTCAGAAAACTATAAAATACTCATGAAAGAAATTGAGGAAGACACAAAGAAATGGAAAAATGTCCCATGCTCATGGATTGGAAGAACAAATATTGTGAAGATGTCAATGCTACCTAGAGCAATCTACACATTCAATGCAATCCCCATCAAAATACCATCCTCTTTTTTCAAAGAAATGGAACAAATAATCCTAAAATTTGTATGGAACCGGAAAAGACCCCGAATAGCCAGAGGAATGTTGAAAAAGAAAAGTAGGGCGCCTGGGTGGCTCAGTTGGTTAAGCAACTGCCTTCGGCTCAGGTCATGATCCCGGAGTCCCGGGATCGAGTCCCGCATCGGGCTCCCTGCTCGGCAGGGAGTCTGCTTCTCCCTCTGACCCTCCTCTCTCTCATGCTCTCTGTCTCTCATTCTCTCTGTCTCAAATAAATAAATAAATAAAATCTTTAAAAAAAAAAAAAAAAGAAAAGTAAAGCTGGTGGCATCACAATTCCGGACTTCAAGCTCTACTACAAAGCTGTAATCATCAAGACAGTACGGTGCTGGCACAAAAACAGACACATAGATCAATGGAACAGAATAGAGAGCCCAGAAATGGACCCTCAACTCTATGGTCAACTAATCTTTGACAAAGCAGGAAAGAATGTCCAATGGAAAAAAGTCTCTTCAACAAATGGTGTTGGGAAAATTGGACAGCCACATGCAGAAGAATGAAACTGAACCATTTCCTTACACCACACACAAAAATAGACTCAAAATGGTTGAAAGACCTCAGTGTGAGACAGGAGTCCATCAACGTCCTAAAGGAGAACACAGGCAGCAACCTCTTTGACCTCAGCCGCAGCAACTTCTTCCTAGAAACATTGCTAAAGGCAAGGGAAGCAAAGGCAAAAATGAACTATTGGGACTTCATCAGGATAAAAAGCTTTTGCACAGCAAAAGAAATAGTCAACAAAACCAAAAGACAACTGACAGAATGGGAGAAGATATTTGCAAATGACATATCAGATAAAGGGCTAATATCCAAAATCTATAAAGAACTTATCAAACTTAAAAAAAAAAAAAAGAACTTATCAAACTCAACACCCAAAGAACAAATGATCCAATCAAGAAATGGGCAGAAGACATGAACAGACCTTTTTCCAAAGAAGACATCCAAATGGCCAACAGACTCATGAAAAAGTGCTCAACATCGCTCGGCATCAGGGAAATCCAAATCAAAACCTCAATGAGATACCACCTCACACCAGTCAGAATGGCTAAAATTAACAAGTTAGGAAACGACAGATGTTGGCGGGGATGCAGAGAAAGGGGAACCCTCCTACACTCTCGGTGGAAATTCAAGCTGGTGCAGCCACTCTGGAAAACAGTATGGAGGTTCCTCAAAAAGTTGAAAACAGAGCTACCACACGACCCAGCAATTGCACTACTGGGTATATACCCCAAAGATACAAATGTAGGGATCCAAAGGGGTACATGCACCCCAATGTTTATAGCAGCAATGTCCACAATAGCCAAACTATGGAAAGAGCCAAGATGTCCATTGACAGATGAATGGATAAAGAAGATGTGGTATACACACACATACACACACACACAGGAATATTACGCAGCCATCAAAAGGAATGAAATCTTGCCATTTGCAATGACGTGGATGGAACTGGAGGGTATTATGCTGAGTGAAATAAGTCAATCAGAGAAAGACGTGTATCATATGATCTCATTGATATGAGGAATTCTTAATCTCAGGAAACAAACTGAGGGTTGCTGGAGTGGTGAGGGGTGGGAGGGATGGGGTGGCTGGGTGATAGACACTGGGGAGGGTATGTGCTATGGTGAGCGCTGTGAATTGTATAAGACTGTTGAATCACAGACCTGTACCTCTGAAACAAATAATACATTATATATTTAAAAAAAAAAAAAAAGAAGATAGCAGGAAGGGCAAAATGAAGGGGGGGGACATTGGAGGGGGAGATGAACCATGAGAGACTATGGACTCTGAGAAACAAACTGAGGGTTCTAGAGGGGAGGGGCGTGGGGGGATGGGTTAGCCTGGTGATGGGTATTAAAGAGGGCACGTACTGAATGGAGCACTGGGTATTATACGCAAACAATGAATCATGGAACACTACATCAAAAACTAATGACATAATGTACGGTGATTAACATAACATTAAAAAAAAACCCTTTTGACATTTTGACAAACTATCCAAAATTTAAACCTTAAATGAAGCTGTTTTAACCTCAAAATAACTGGAATTTTTCAGAGCGTTCTTGAAAAACCACAAGATTTTTCTCTCTCCTTATAAAAGATGTTAAACGAACTAGGCTTATTTAATATGTTAAATTACATGAAAAACATTGTCAAATAAATGAATAATCTTTTAAAATTATATTGTATGGGTAAATATTAATGTAAGTGTTCTAGAAATTGTATAAAATTCCTAAAAATTCTGATAAGTCCTGGCATGTCATCAGTCATAATTTTAGTTATTATCTTAAAATGTTGTATGTCACAGAAATAACCAAATTTCCTTGTCAATTGCATTGTAATGAACCCTAATCAGAGCTTTAACCAGGCCATTTTAAAGTTTTTTGTCATTTACAGACAGTTATTCTTTTGCTCTAATGCTTTTACAAAAGTGTTCCCGCAAAAATGCTTGTATTGGATTTCTGATAACTTTAAGATCATAAATCTGAACTTGATAAAATTTCTAGAATAGAGAAACAGGAACTTGTTCAAGAACAAAAATGAATTATATGGGACTGAATAAACTGAGGAAATGAATATAATTTTTATCAATTTCTGTTTATAATAGTGCTGTTCTGTAATTTTTAATTTTCCAGATAAAAGGAAACATTTCCTCTTTAACTATGCCTTACAGCAACTTGGTAAATTGTACCTGTGCAAGCAGAACTGAAACATGTATCTTTTTCTCCCTACTGTATCCCTCTAGAATTCAAAAGCTCTTAATGAATATTCTTACTCTTATGGCAACATATTTTTGCATAAGTTCAATAAGAATCTGTTCTTGTAATGACACAACTGGAAACATTGATTATATTACCTAGGCTTTGACTGTAATGTCATATTTGAGAGATGTACATAGATTCATATACGACTGGACAGCTTTAAGAAACTAAGGTTGACTTAATGGAACCAATAAAGCCCTTTGGAAGTATCAGCCAGATGCCTTGCTTACAGTGTTCCCAGCAGCCTTACCAGGTGAGTGAAAAAGGTCACTTCCTGGCAGGTGCAGGAACCTCAGGATATTTTGGGGACCTGGAGAAGAGATAAAGTAACCCAAAGCTATAGGTATTGCAGGCAAAGTCTAATGACAAGTATTTGGCAGCTAAAAAGTACAATTTGGAGATTCCTTCTGAAAGGTCCCAGCAAAGTAGATTTAAAAGAAGCTACATGATCAATTGCTCTTCCTGTTGCACTTGTAGAAATAATCAAGCCAAGTTTATTGAAACAAGGTTTAGTTTGCAAACAAATTAGTCTTAATTAGGCTATCTTTGGTAGAAATGAGGGTGACTGTTGAGAGAAAAAAACCGTTTCAATGGCACACCTTGTGGATATTAGATTCTCATTGTAAACTGGACTAAATCCTGAACTCTTGTTTCTTCTAATGTCTGGCTACAGCCCTCCAAAATACCTGCCCTTCTGCCCTTCTGACTTGGAATCATTGAAAACTAAAAGTGTCCTTTCCCCTGAAGCCCTATAAACTGAATATGAATGCCTTTATAAACTTTGAGAAATCACTACAACCGCTCATGTATGGATAATGCTTGTGCCAATTGTTGTGTAGTCACTCAGAATGATCATCGGGGGCATTCATTTGCAACCAAGGAAAATCTAGCAGATTGCCACTGCCTGCCTTCACTCCACCCAAAGATACCTTGAGCTGGACATTTAAAAGTCTCCTAAATTGGCTGCTATCACAACTCAGAAACTGGTTTATAATTTGCTCCACTCGTTACCCACTATTTTTATTTCCCTAGAAATGCCTCGTTTAATACCTGAGTATTTGAACCACAAGCCTACTTTGGAAGTGTACCTGCATCACAGCCTGCTGAAATGAGTTTAACTGAACTGACCTATTCTCAGGACTAAAGGACCAACTCAGTAAGATGAAACAATCTGCCAACTCAACTTGTAAACTGTGAACTTCTTGGAGAAGTTTCAAAGGCTGTACTGTAGGGAAGGAAAATGTGCGTTTTAGGCTGATTATTTTGAAGAGACAGAAGGTTCAGGAAGAATCTTTGACCTTCCTCTCACTGCCTAGAACAATTTAGATGGAGGACCTCCTCCAGGAAGGGAGCTATCACCATAGATAACCACAGCATAATATAAACTAGGGGTGGCAGACAGGAAGGAACTTGGTAAAGTCTGTTAAAATTCCTGTTCCCACTGTTTCTGTATGGCCTAGCAAACATTTGTTTACCAAACATATTTACTCTTTTTCATCTTCCTGTGAATTGTCTTCCTTCCCTTTGAAGTCCCAGACCCCTATCCTATTCTCCTTCATTCAGAATGGCAATATAAGCCTCAATTGCCTGATGTCACCTGTGGGCCTCCTATTCTTATGGAACCCCAATACATACATAATTAAATTTTATTTTCTTCTGTTAATATCTTATGTCAATTTAATTTTTAGACCAACCAAAAGAATCTTCAATAGTGGAGGAAAATTTTTCCTCCCTAAGAACATTCTCCTCAATTTCCCTTCCTTTTCTAGAATCTAGGCCCCAGGGGTTCTCTTCAGAAGGAAGATAAGCAACTCTTACAATAACAACAGACCTCACCTCCCTTCCCAATCAAGTCGGAATGAGTCCACAGCTCTGCTAGGGATGCTACAGAAACTGTTTCTGGCCTCAATTCCCCAAGGACAGAGTGAGCTCTGGGGTTTGTTCACTTGCACAGTCCCATGTCTGTTAGCAGTCAAGGTTCTCTTACTCTGGCTATGTTTAGCTTTGTTTGTCTTCCATGGGAACATAACTGCATTCATCTCCCTTTTCTCAGCTCTTGATTTATAACAGCTCATCACCAAGAACCTGAGCTCCAGATGATGAGCCAGGTATGACCCAGGTTTGTAAACATCCACCAAGGAAAAAAAAAAAAGACCCTTTCTATGAAGAGGTGTGACCCCACACATTCCTGGAAATGTGTTTCCTTTCCACCTCCAGATCCAAAGACATACTGTCTATCCTTCACAATTCTGTCTGATCTGCTGATAGATGTGGAGAGTTAATACTATTACTGTATTACTGTCAATTTCTCCCTTTTTGTCTGTTAATATTTGCTTTATATATTTAGGTGCTCCTTCACTGGGTGCAGAAATATTTACAAGAGTTTTATCTTCTTGATGGATTGAGCCCTTTATCACTATGCAATGCCCTTCTTTATCTCTTGTTATAGGCTTTATTTTAAAGTCTGTTTGATAAAAGTATTGCTACCCCAACTTTTATTTCCATTTGCATGGATTATCTTTTTCTATCCTTTCATTTTCACCCTTTGTGTGTCTTTAGATCTGAAGTTAGTCTCTTGTAGGAAGCATACAGATGGGTCTTGTATTTTATCCATTCAGCCACCCTTTGTTTTTCAATTTAAGCATTTAGTCCACTTCCATTTAAAGTAATTATTGATAGGTATGTATTTATTGTCATTTTGTTGTTTTCTGGTTGTTTTTATAGTTCTCTGTTCCTTTCATCTTCTCTTGCACACTTCCCTTGTGATTTAATGATTTTATCTTTAATGTTATGTTTGGATTCTTTTTTATTTTTTGTGTATCTATTATAGGCTTGTGGTTATCATGAAGTTCACAAAAAACAACCTTATATATACCAGTCTATTTTAAGTTGGTGGTCATCTAAGTTCAAATGCATTCTAAAAGCATTACATTTTAGCTCCATTTTATGTTTTTGACATCATACTTTACAACTTTTCATTTTGTGTATCCCTTAACTAATTATTGTAGATATAGTTGGTTTCACTACTTTTATCTTTTAACTTGCATACTAGCTTTATAAATGGTTGATCCACTACCTCTACTATATGTTTGCCTTTATCAGTGATATTTTTTAAAAAATATATTTTCTTATTTCTATTTACAGCCTTTTCTTTTCTGCTTAAAGAAGTCCCTTTAGTATGTCTTGTAAAGCCAGTTTAGTGGTAACAAACTCTTTTAGCTTTTGCTTATCTGGGAAACTCTGTATCTCCCCTTCAATATGAATGATAACCTTGCCAGTTAGAGTATTCTTGGTTATAAGTTTTTTACTTTCAGTACTTTGAATATATTGTGCCATTCCCTTCTAGCTACAAAGTTCCTGCTGAAAAATTAGCTTATAGTCTTATGGACAAGCCGTTATATGTAACTAATTGCTTTTCTCTTATTCCTTTTATTTTTTAATTTTAATTATGATATATTTTGGTGTGGATCTCTTTCAGTTCATCTTGTTTGGAACTCTCTTTGCCTTTCGAACCTGGATATCTGTTCCCAGGTCAAAAAAGTTTTCAGCTATTATTTCTCCAAGTAAGTTTTCTGCCTGCTTCTCTCTCTTTTCCCTCTGAGACCCCTATGATTCAAATGTTATTATGCTTGATGTTGTTCCAGAAGTCCCTTAAACTTATCCTCATTTTTAAAAATTCTTGTTTCTTTTTACTGTTCAGCTTCGGAGATTTCCATTACCATGTCTTCCAGATGACTGATCCATTCTTCTGTATCATCTAATCTCTTATTCCCTGTAGCGTGTTTTTCTTTTTTGTTGTATCTTTCAGCTGTGATCAATGCCTTCTAAAATGATGCTTTGAAAGTATAACTAGTAATATATTTTTGTGTGCATAGAAAGTATCTGGAAGGAAACACACCAAACTGTTATAACAACTACTTCTAGGGATAGAGACTTTTTATTTTTATTTTTTTTTTAAAGATTTTTAAGTAATCTCTTCACCCAATGTGGGGCTCAGACTAACAACCCTGAGGCCAAGAGTTGCATGATCTACTGACTGAGCCAGCCAGGCACCTCAGGAGAGAGTTTTCTTTTTTAAAGCAGAAAGCAAGGGAGAATCATGTTTTGCTCCAGTTTTGCTCTGATTTAAAAATTAAACTATGAAAAAATAAAAAATTATGAGTAATTTTTTAATGAGCATGTATCCATAGTATTTTTTTTTTTTTTTTTAGAGAGAGAGCAAGGGAGGGACAGAGGGACAGGGAGAGAGAGAATCCAAAGCAGACTCCACACCTAGTGCAGAACCTGATACAGGGCTCAATCTCATGACCCTGAGATCAGGCCCTGAGCCCAAATCAAGAGTTGGGTGTTTAACTGACTGAGCCACCCGGGTCCCCCTAATGAGCATGTATTATTTTTATAATTAAAATGTTAAAAAAAATTTTTTTGACCTCTGTTCCATGGCACCATGGCTAGATCATGTTGAGAAAACCATACTAATGAGGAAGTAGCTGCTACAAAATTCACTACAGACATTGTTACAATGAAGTAATGGCCAAGAGTTATGGTATATTTAGCAAGCTTGGGTCATGGTTGTCTAGGGAGGATAAAGACAGTCTGCTGCCTACCTGGGTACTGAGGATAGCCAGGAAGCCCCACGTGGCAACAGACTCATCTTGCACATTGCATCCAAGAATGAGTGGCATTGAGTGGACAGTGAGGCCAAGGTCATCAGAAACATCAGAAACATTATTAGGCTCTACAAAGAGCCTCAGCAGCCTCAGCACAGAAACAGGTCTAACGTGGATGCAGGTTGCAAATGACACAGGACCTCACATCCTGTAGGTCATATCTGCATACAAAAGCCATCACTGTAGGAACTGTCACATTGAGCAAGGACACAGGTATTTTTTTCAAGCACATATTCTTTTGGAGGGTTTGGCAGATAGAATATGGAAATGGAAGATACTGCCCTGAGGTCTCTTCCCGACCATGGCCTTGTGAAAGTCCTCTGCCCATCTGTCCAGATGTTTGCCAGATGGCAAAATGGCTTCTACCAAAAGCTTCCCAGTCATTTTGAGATCAGTGCCAAATCTTAGCCATGATTCTAAAAACAGCCACTATTTATGAATCATAAAATTCCCCAATTTATTTTTATTTCTCTAAAGTAAAAAAATATAATAACAGTATTAAGGATTTTAACTATTTTCATTTTTTAGCCTAAAAAAAATTTTTTTTTAAGATTTTATTTATTTGACAGAGAGAGACACAGCGAGAGAGGGAACACAAGCAAGGGGAATGGGAGAGGAAGAAGCAGGCTTCCCGCCGAGCAGGGAGCCCGATGCGGGCTCAAACCCAGGACCTTGCGATCATAACCTGAGCCAAAGGCAGACACTTAACGAATGAGCCACCCAGGCGCCCCTAGCCTAAATTTCTTTTTAAACTAACAGTTTAATCTCTTCCTGCACTTGTGCAATCCATATTTCCCCACTTCCTCCTGTGAATAAACAGAATTTGAAACAGAAATCTAGCCAAGGGGCACCTGGCTGGTTCAGTCGGTAGAGCATGCAACTCTTGATCTCAGGGTTTTGAGTTCAAGCCCCACATTGGGCATGGAGCCTACAAGAAAAGAGAAGAAAACAAAACAAAACAAAACTAGCCAAGAGTAGGTAGGTAAAAGAGAAACAAAAAGCCTAATTATAGTCCTTGGTGAGTTAATGATATAAATACTCATATTTTGCTATATGCTCACATACAGGTTTAGTATTTTATTCTGATAATATACGTACCATTTACCTGACAGAAAGCAGGCCTAGGCAGGTTCCCTTATAACAAAAGTTACTTCAGTGCTGTATTCAGTCATGATGCTATGACAGTCATGGCCATCCCCAGGTAAGGGAGAACTGAGAACTGACTGAACTTAGATTAAAAAAAAAAAAAAAATGCTATTTCTCGAATTTTGAGGTAAAAAACTGTATACTTTGCAAACTACTTATGTTCTGTTTGGGTTTCCCCTTCTGCTAGCTAAGTCACCATCTAAGATATTGAAAAAATTTTGGCTGGAAAGTTGGGACAGCTAAAGTTATAAGGGGCAATTGTCCTACTAAGACCATCCCTTCCAGCATCCCGTTCTTTTAGAAAAATACCCAATCATTTTTGAGCTGACTCTAGAAGTCTTCCTTCTTATCCTGTCTCTTCACTGGTTTAGGTATTTATTGTGTACTTCAGAAAACATTATTTTCCAACATCTGTTTATCATTTAATTTCCTTGAATTTCTATACATATTCTGTTTTCCAAATTTTCACTCAGGTCTAAAAAAAGAATTTCAGTAACTGTTAGCTTGACACCGTGTCAGCTATTAAAGATTCAGATACTAAATGTCATCCTTTGCTTTTCACTGCCTTCTTGCATCTGGGAGAGACTAAGTCAAATGAAATTTTTAAGTGCTACAGTTCCTTTTGAATCATCATTAAAGAAGACAAAAAAACACCAAATAATCTAAAATGGGCAGAAAACCTGAAAAGACATTTTTTCCAAAAAAGACATACAAATGACCAATAGATCTATGAAAAGATACTCAGCATAGTTAATCATCAGGGAAATGCAAATCAAAACAACAATGACATATCACCTCACACTTGTCAGAATAGCTAAAATCAAAAAGACAAGAAATAACAAATGTTGGCAAGAATATGGAGAAAAGGGAAACCTTCTATACTTTCGGTGAGAACGCCAATTGGTGCAGCCACTACGGAAAACAGTATGAAGGTTCCTCAAAAAATTAAAAACAGGTTACCACATGATCTAGTAATTCCACTACTGGATATTTACCCAAAGAAAATATTAATTCAAAAAGATAAATGCACCTCTTTGTTTACTGCAGCATTATATACAATAGCCAAGATGTGGAAGAAACTCAAGTGTCCATCCATATACAAGTGGATAAAGAAGATGTGGTACACACACGCATGCGCACGCACACACACACACACAAAAATATTATTCAGCCATAAAAGAGAATGAAATCTTTTTTTTTTTTAAGAGAATGAAATCTTGACATTTGCAGCAACATGGATGGATCTAGAGAGTATAATGCTAAGTGAAATAAGTCAGAGAAAGACAAATATCATATGATTTCACTCATACGTGGAATTTAAAAAATAAAACAAATGAACAAGGAAAAGACAGACTCTTGAATATAGAGAACAAATTGGTGGTTGCCAGAGGGGAGGTGGGTAGACAGGATGAGTGAAATAAAGAGGATTAAAAAAAAAATAACACTACAGGAAGAGAGGTTAAGTAAAGGAAAGGGGAGGCTGTAACGGTAAAATTTAAGCCTTCCCTGATGAAGCCAATAGAAACCAGAGCTTCCAAGAAAAGCCAGGCCTGAGATTAAGGCCAAATCCTTTGCTCCTATCAACATGAAACTACTGAATGCTGAAGTTTCTTTCTGACTCTATTATAAAAGCAAATTTTGGCTTGCCTGGACTGTCTCTAAACAGACTGAAGTTAGAGTGCTTATTGCTCAAGTAGGGACAATTTCTGCAAGGCCTAAATCAGGATAAAGCCTATTTTAATTTTACCCCACATTTCTTGAACTCAAAATAAAGTGATTTTAACCTAGGATTACCAAGGTAAGAAACCTAGTGGCATCTGCTGGGACCCTTATGCCAGTTTTCTCCTTCCCTGGTCCTTTCTCCACGCTTGCACTATTCCCAGGGAGAATTCCTGGTTTAAATGTCCCTTGCAAAGATTTACAAAAACAAGTCAGTTCCCCAAAATTAAAACAAAACAAAAAAAACATACTATCCAATTAGGCAAGAAAGGGGGTGATTTATTTTCATACTTTCTTAGAGGTTATACAAACTGATATAACATTTCTGGAGAACTATTTGGTAATATCTATCAAAGTCTTAAAAACCATGTGTTCCACTTCCAGAAATTTATTTAAGGAAAGGCAACTCTTCACCTAGTTCCAGCCTTCTTTCTGTTGTCTCTGTAGGTTAGGCCGATAGGTCATTTAACTGTCCTTACTGTGGTCTGATTTCTCACAATAGACTATAATAAACATATATTCCTTTGGAAATCAGGTATTTAAAAAATCACCACTAAATATACCACACACAAACACGCCCTGTCTAAAACCACTTGTGTTCCGAAATGTTTAGTGTTAAGTGTGGCACCACCTTCAGCAACCAGTTTCTTTTACTACTATTATTATTATTATGAAAAACTCAGTATACATTAACAGATTTTCTAATGACCTAGGGTTTGGGGGTTATGATAAAAAGCCTATATCCACTTTTGTGGCTATGAATTTTATAGGATGACCTCAACAGAGCTTCAAACCACAACAATGATTTCCTCTCCCTGTGAGCCCATGGATTGTTCTTTTAGGCTTTCACAGACTTTCACTGGATATGTGAGTCAATACTAATGTGGTAGCTACAGTTCTTCCTTCCAATGACATCTGGAATCCCACTATATGTTGGGATACTCTTTTCCTCCATTTTATAGTAGAAGACATTATCTAAATTCTCCTGGATCACATGACAGTAGCCCTGGAAACAGAAAGCAAGTTTTAATAGTTCTTTGGCCAAACCACACGCTTTCTCTGAATCTATTTACCATACTGTTTCAAGATGTTTTCTCAAGGGTCCACAGGGGCTACATTTAAGACCTTCTGGTCATTGTTTGCTAACTGCTGGGATGGTTTTAATCAGACAGGAAGCCAATATTTTCAGCTTGGGTGTTGGAAGAGTTCCTAAAATGTCTGCAAACTGATTTAGGAGGAAATGTTTAACAGCAGAGAACTTATTCCTGCCCTAGAATAAACTCATTAGAACTGACATATGGTGTAACCACTGACCAAGAGAACTACATTTTTTGAACACATTACATCTCAAAGGTACCTGGGGTTTCTAAATGTTGTCAGTATCAGACGATAAAACCTGTTAAACAAGGGCCATGGCCTCAATATACTGGTTGACAGCTTCCTCCTTTTAGAGTATTCTTGGTGTTTGGTATAACTTCTCTATGAGGACCTAGTTTTTACACTAGTTTTCTTTCTTTCTTTTAACTTTTTAAATTTTTATTTATTTTTTAACTAATTTCTACACCCACAACCCCAAGATCAAGAGTCTCATGTTCTACCGACTGAGCCAGTCAGGTGCCCCTACATTAGTTTTCTTGAAGAGGTTTTATGCGATGACCCAAGTAAAATTTTCTGATGTGAAAGACCTCAGCAGACATTTTTCCCTTCATACAATCCTGACTTGAGGTAAGCGAAGGGAGTCCCTTTGTGACAAGGACCGTTTAGTTCTAGGTTCCAGAAAAGCCCAAGTTTCTCAGTGGTTTGGATCAAACCAGATCCCCCAGATTTAGTGAAGATGAATCCAAATGCCTGAATCAGGTCCAGGAGCACTGCAGGTTTTACCAGGGTCAGTAAACCTTTTCTAGGTTAGGCAGGCTCCTCTAAGCCTCAGTTGAAGACACATGGCTTTTGGTCAGCCTTGTATTTGCATGAATAAAATGTTTTCTTCCAGGGCACCAGGGTGGCTCAGTTGGTTAAGCGACTGCCTTCAGCTCAGGTCATTATCGAGCCCCGCACTGGGCTCCCTGCTTGACAGGGGCCTGCTTCTCCCTCTGCCGCTCCCACTACTTGAGCTCTCCTGCTCTCTCTCTGCCAAATAAATAAATAAAATCTTTTTTAAAAATGTTTTCTTGGGTGCTTGGGTGGCTCAGTCATTAAGCGTCTGCCTTCGGCTCAGGTCATGATCCCAGGTTCCTGGGATCGAGTCCCACATCGGGCTCCCTGCTCTGCGGGGAGCCTGCTTCTCCCTCTCCCACTCCCCCTGCTTGTGTTCCCTCTCTCGCTGTGTGTCTCTCTCTGTCAAATAAATAAATAAAATCTTAAAAAAAAAAAAATGTTTTCTTGCCCTCTTTCTAATTCTTCCATCATTTATCATGTATAAATTCCTAAAATCCTACTCCAGGAACAAACCATCATAGCAAGGGTTTCTAAAGTTGACTCCACCTAGTCCTACAGAATTCAAGTCTAGGGATACAGTCCTGGAAGCCTTCTTTTTAAAATGCCTTTATGATGGGGCACCGGGCCGGCTCAGTCAGTGGAGCATGTGACTCTTGACCTCAGGGTTGTGAGTTCGAGCCCCACGCTGGATGTAGAGATTACTTAAAAATAAAATCTTAAAAAAAATAATAAAATGCTTTTATGAGCACCTCTACATGCTGCAAGTAGTACAACTGTAAGAGTGAATGAAAGGGAAAGAGAAAGAAATCCCAGCAAGCAGAGACAGGCAAGATTTGAATTTGAGTATTTAATACTAATGGGGGGAAAAGATTTTTTAAAAAAACAACAAAACAACAACAAAAACCCCAGGTCACTGGGGAACGATCATGAACACCTTTGCTTCAACAACTCCATTTTCAGCTAGGCTGGCTGCATCAGTGTGCTGATACTTTCTTCTACCTCTGAGAGCTTCTTTAGGAGTTGATTGACCTTGACTTCATCAAATTCCAAACACAGAAATTCAGATTCCTGGAAAACATAAAAGAACGTTTTTATGAGAGACCCTCAAGAAAGCCAAGGCTGTGGACCTGGCCTGACCCAGTTCCAAAGGTCCAGGGCCCCCTACCTAGCAAGTCTAACTCAGGCCTCAAAACCTAAATGATCTATTAGCCAGCAAAGAAAATCCACACATTTAGTTCCCTAAATAAAACTACTTTGATGAGGTGTTTCATAAATGGTAAAGAGGTATACAAATGTCAGGTGTTCTCATGATGACTCATGTGAGAAGCTCTTTTTGTCTATCCTCACATTTGATCCCATAACAATTTTTAAGGTAAGTACTTAAGTATTGCTGTTATATAGATGATGACGCTGAGGCACAGAGAGGTTAACCTGTATTACAAAATCAGAAAAAGGCAGACTCAGACTGTGAACTCGCAGTTCTGGCTGACTCCAAAGTCCATACTGTCTCCATAGCACCATAACAACGGAAGAAGGATTTGGATTGGGTCTGTGTTAGTCTGGTAATTGAGCTACCCTGGATTTAGTGGTTATACTAGAAATTTTAACAAGTTGTGACCAAGTTGCTTGGGAAACATCAACCAGATAATTGAAAGATAACCAGGTCTTGAAATAGCCTTAAACACTTCTGAGGCCTTTCCACTTGCTGCAAGCCAACTCTCCAAGATTTCTATAAACACATTCCCTTCAAACACTGTTGGGATCAATCAACCCTAGATTAGGTAGATATCAAAGAAAAAGGCCTTTGAAGTGTGGTGACAGAAATTTCATGTACAGTGTACAAATCCTTGGTCCACATTGTGTCAAGTGACAAGGGCAAACTATATGTATCCAAGAGTGATTATATTCAAGATTCTTAAGAACAATAATCATGTATTTTAAAGCAGTATGAATTCTCAGAGATCATGTAATTCAACTACCTTGTTTTTTACATAATGAAATTGAGGCCCCAGGCATGGTAAATGTTGATGGCAGACACACCACCAGATTCAATGCTCTTTTCTCTACCTTTTCTTCTCTAAATACATGGTATTTCCATCCCTATCCCCAAAGTGGCAGGTAAAAGGAAGACCAATAGCCTTTTCAGGGGCACCTGGGTGGCTCAGTCATTAAGCATCTGCCTTCTGCTCAGGTCATGATCCCAGGGTCCTGGGATCGAGTCCACATCGGGCTCCCTGCTCCACAGGGAGCCTGCTTCTCCCTCTCCCACTCTCCCTGCTTATGTTACCCTCTCTCGCTGTGTCTGTGTCACAAAAATAAATAAATAAAATCTTTAAAAAAAAAATAAGCCTTTTCAGTGGGACCAAGTTACTCTTTCATTAGCTAGAAGAACTTTCAGGAGATTTTGGAAAAGTATTTTTGCTGTTGCTAAGTTGCTATGCTGAATGTTTACTGATGGCACTGAACATACCCCAGGAGAAACAAGTGCAGAGGGAAAGGAAGGGCCTCTCAGATGAAAACTTGCCAAAGAGAGAAAAGGCTTTCCCTAACTACAGGGAACCTTTTCCTCAAACATGTATTTGGATAGGAGAGGGGTATAGAATGTGAACTTAGAAACTGCCAAGTTTAAAAAAGAAAAGAAGAAAAGAGAAGAAAAAAGAAAGAACAAAAGAAAGAAAGAAAGAAAAAGAAAGAAAGAAAGAAAGTCAGGTTTTCACTTAGTTGAAAGCAAAAACCCAATTTAAAGAAAAGAAAGATACTCCTTGTGTTGAGGAGCTGCAGGAGGGATCACCTCCTCTAAGAAAGAAGAACATATTTATGGCAAATTAGATAATTCAGTTAGCTAAATTTAGAACAGGTCTCAGATTTGAAAGCCTCTTATTCTTCATTCAGTTTTATTAGCCTTTAAAACATTTTTGAACATTTGGCCTTTGAAACAATGGTCTAGAGAAAGTAATAATTACCGGTCTAACATATATATTCAGGAAGTTGGCAGAAGATAATGAGATAATGTAACCCATGTTTTACCTCAGTGAAAGTGCGTAACAATAACAAATCACCTGGTTTTCCATTTATATGGAAAAGATTATCAAGGACTTTGATCACAGAGATAGGAATACCTGAGCAGAGTTTATTAATAAAAGCCAGGATCTTTTCTGACTAGGGGTCATTACTTTGTTACAGATTTCAGTACTCAAATTATCTTTCCTCAGACCTCTAAGTATCAGTGAAGCTGTTTATTTATTTATTTTTAAATATTTATTTTTTTATTTGAGAGAGAGAGAAAGAGAGTGCAGGGGGTGGGGGGAGGAGAGGGGCAGAGGGAGCGAGAGAGAGTCTTAAGCAGACTCTGCACTGAGCACAGAGCCTGACATATGGCTCAATCTTATGACCCTAAGTTCATGACCTGAGTTGAAACCAAGAGTTGGATGCTTAGCTGTGCCACCAAGGCGCCCCTGAAGCTGTTTATTTTTAAGGGAAATCAACTACCAGAGAGACTAGCAGGCTAGAAAAACAGAGTCCAAAGTTAAATTTTCCATCCACTCCTAACTTTTACCTCTCCCCCCCTTGAAACAATGCACATTAACAGTGTTAGAAAGACACATGTAACCACTTATGATTCTTGAAGAAACAGTTTATTTGGAACTATTAAAAGGCCTAGCTTTACCTAGTTATGCTATCAAAATATTTTATCAGGTATTTAAGAGCCTTTAAACTGGGGCTTACTACATGGGGCTTTGTTCAGATTTTTGCATTTGGCTGGGGTACACTACAGAAAATACATCTCATGCACTTAAAGATATCTGTAGGAATGCAGATGATGCTTATCAAGCCAGAGACAAAGTATAAGAACAATTTGAAACATCTAATTTAAGGGTTTTTTTGTTTTTTTTTTTAAGTAATTTCTACACCTAAAAGGGAGCTTGAACTCATGACCCCAAGATCAAGGGTCTCATGCTCTTTCAACTGAGCCAGCCAGGCACTCTTGAAACATTTTTTCCCCCCAAATCATCCAGCCAAGTCTGGGCCTAACTGGTTATAATAACAAGAAATGACAAGACTAAACTCCTGGGTTTAAGTATCTGAGTCAAGAGTTAGAACCTGCCTTTTTTTTTTTTACATTTTTTTATTTATTTGACACAGAGAAGGAGAGAGAGCACCAGCAGGGTGAGCAGCAGGCAGAGGGAGGGAGGGGAAGAAGCAGGCTCCCTGCTGAGCAGAGATCCCCCCCAATGCGGGGCTCGATCGCAGGAGCCTGGAATCATGACCTGAGCCGGAGGGAGACACTTAACTGACTGAGCCACCCAGGCACCCCAAACCTGCTGCTTTTTAATAGAGTGTAGATACAGCATGTGGTGGAATCAAATCGGTTAGCAGATGAATAAGCAAGCACATCATTATCAAGAATATGTGGGGCACCTGGGTGGCTCAGTCAGTTAAGTGGCTGCCTTCGGCTCAGGTCATGATCCCAGGGTCTGGGATCGAGCCCCGCATCCGGCTCCCTGCTCGGCAGAGAGCCTGCTTCTCCCTCTGCCGCTCTGCCTGCTTGTGCTCTCTCTCTCTCTCTGTTAAATAAATAAATAAAAATCTTAAAAAAAAAAAAAAAGAATATGTAGTCTGTGATCATGGGGGAGTACAGCAGTGTATTAAATTCAGGGTTTAAATAACTATTCCAAATTAGAAAAGAAAGCAAAGGCAAAATATTAAAATATTCTCTCCAAGTACAAAAGCTAAAAAGTTATAAAATCCTAAGAGATCTAAGAGGCCACCATCTCAAACCAACAGAAAAACCCAAGCTACCTTTAATGATTTTGGAGAAAGATATCTCACAGGTTCCTAAGAAACTCCTTTCCCAGGTAACCACTCTAATATTCTTCAGGAAACTCTTACTTGCCGAGCCTAGATCTTTAGTGCTTTAGCTTAAACTCATTGCCTAGCAGGGTCAGAGACTATAACTAATTATTAGTTTATATAATAATTGAAGGCTGCCATTAAGCAAGTGTTTGGTTTTCTCCATGTACATGCTAAAACTTCTTTGTGTATGTCTACTTAAATGATTTTGATATCTAGGCCCATAAGCATACCAAGAAATTCTTTGGCAAAACAATACTACAGTCACAAAATGCTAAAATAAAAAATAAAAAGAACGATAACTTATTAAATACTTAAGTGGAACCATTTAGAATAAATTAATCATAAAACAAAACAGGGGTGCCTGGCTGGCACAGTCGGTAGGGCATGTGACTCTTAATCTCAGACTTGTGAGTTTAAGCCCCGTGTTGAATGTAGAGCCTACTTAAAATAAATAAAAATTAAAAAAAAAATCTTGAAAAATAATAAAAATTTAAAAAAACAAAATAGAAGTCCTATATCCAATTTTCTCTATTTTTATTATTACCTATGCAAAATTGCCACAAAGCTTTATTCCCCAATTGACTGGTTGTATTTAGCATTATAACATGACTCTGGCAAGTTCTACATGTTGTGGTTTCTTGAAAAAGTACTAAAGTTAGGGGACAGAAGGTGAGAGTGGGAAAAGGTGACCTAGGATCTCCTAACCAAGACTGATTAAAGAAGGCCACATACAGCTGGCCGGATAATATATGGCTTACTTCCCCAATATTTCTTTCAGTTACATTTATTAACACAAAGGGAATCTTGGCTAAGCCTAAATTTTAGCCATGAAGCCTCCCTCTATTTAGGCTGTCCTTTCATAAACTTAAATTAACCTTTGACCTGCAGCTCTGTCACTCTGTGTCTTCTATGTTTAACAACTTGACAGAGAAAGAGAACACGCAGCAAAGGTCAAAATTGGCAATGGCTTCTTGAAGAGCAATTATATAATAATTGAAAATATAGATATCTATAATAAAGAAACCCATACTTCATGTGGCTTTTTCAGAATTATATTGATACCTTGCTAGAGCTTTTTTTGTAGCAAAGGATCTTCCACGTTCCTTCTTAAGGAAATATTTATCCAAAATTAAAATTTTATAGTTCCCTGAAAACTGTGACTATTAATAAAGATACCCATACTTCATGTGGCTTTTTCAGAATTATATTGATAC